TTAGGGAGTAGGCGTAGGCGATTTCCTAGACTCGTTAGTGGAGTAGGCGAGGTACGGTTCGGCATATTAGATAGTACCAGGGTACGTTCCGGTATACCGGACCGTACCCAGGTTACGTTCCGGCAGTACTTCCAGGGACATAGACCCTCTCAGCAGTAATACAGTACTGGCCTGCCGTCGTGCCGAGTCATAGACATAGTCATAGGCACTTACCTGTACGGCTACGAGTTACGTTTCAATAAATTGACACAAATTGTATTTACTTACTACTAGTACCACATTCTAAATGTTAATGCACTAACTATCCTCTAATAATTCCACCTCAAAATCGTTAAAATGCTCTACAACACAACTTCACCCTAGCAGTCACGCATCACAGTTTGATCAGAGTTGAGTTAGATTGGGGACTTTCTACGGGATCTTTCAAGTATTTTCTTTGCTTTATTTTTTAGATTTTATGTCTATTGTAAATTTCCGGTCAACACAAACATGGCAGAAAAACAGATGGAATACAGCATTGGAGACAAGGTGTTTGCAAAAGTCAAAGGCCATCCATTTTGGCCGGCACGGGTGTGTATTCAGAAATGTAATGCAAGCAATTGTTATATTAGCTAGCTGACAGTGACAGTACTACTACTAGTAGTATTAGTAGTAAGATATGCTAACATATAATATAAACTAACAAAATATCAGTGTATAAACGTAACCATCTCGGACACAACTGCATTGCGTGTTTCCATGTAATAACTGTGTGTAACATCAAATGAATGAATATGTATTTGGTGTTATATAACTAACTTGGTATAGTGTGTTAGATCGGTTACATCACATCATAGATATATACAACACGTGTGTTGTATATATCTATGATCACATGTACGTCGTGAACGTTTTTCACCTCTTCTGAATACACGAATACACGACTAGGCCTACTGTCTACACTACTGAATACACGAGTGTCATCTACAAGTGCATAACATTACTGCCACATTAACATAATTTACCTGATACATGCATGTGGTTTGTTGGCCTAGTCAAAGAAGCATCAAACCACATGATTGATGCAAATGTATTGTGTTTTCTTGTGCTATTCTTGTAAAACAAACACTGATTAGCCCTCAAGCAATTAAATGTTCCATAGTATGCTTACTCCAATTATCATCCGTAACATAATATACCGGTAGTTAAAAATCATTCTGTAGTCAGTTCTCATTGGAGGTTTGTAGTGGTAACTGGGCATGTGTACGTGTTTGTGATAATATGCAGGCATCTGAAACCCAATCTATTAAAAAATATATTACTATAAAGTTTATATTGGTTAGGTTGTTAGGCAGTTGCACTTTTACAAATGTGTTTCAGGTGATCATGGCACCGGAGGGAGTGAATCTTCCTGTTGGAAGATTCTTCCTCATGTTCTATGGGACTCACGAAACGTAGGTCTCACTTGATAAAAACATCTTCGTTGTTCGAGACTGTTAGAAAATGTAGTTCTACCCATATAGGCCTCGGAATGGTTCAACTGGCAGACCATCTGGCTTGATAGAATTCCCATTGCTATATTGTTGTAGCCACACAAAATGTTACTTACCGTTTTGTTTTTATACAAATGTGATGAAGGTATAATTTATCATGTTTTACTATGATACTTTAATTATGCGCTCCATTGTCATAATAGTTTGATTATCATTAATTCGGAAATGCAATGATGCGATTTTCACAGCGCGGCCCTTTGGCCAAGAAATCTTGTGCCGTATACTGAAGAGACTATAGCCAAGCATGGTAACAAGCCACATAAACGCAAAGCCTTCCACGATGCCAAGTGGGAAATCGTACATAATCCTGACGTAGACCCAGAGGTACATAAACTTCACTACACTGGTTACATCTTTTTTTTTATTAAATTGTGACTGAATTGAATGGGTTTTTCTCACATCCTGTCATCTCTCTAAGTAAACATGTACAAACACAACTGGAACTAAAAAGAAATAACCAGATAACCATGAGTCAAGTATTGTTGCTGGAACTTATACACAGTAATGGAAGAAGTTAATGTGCTAGTGATTTCTCATTCTTCATTAAATTAAAGTATAACTTTGCACTCATCATTGTACCTGTCTATTGTAAAATCTGGTTGAAAAATGGAATAAAATTAATTTAAGAGCTAATTGAACATTCGTAAATTATATTTGAATTGCAGATACTTATACCATTATCACAGTCATCCCTGGAGAGCAAGGCGTCGCCAAGAAAAAAAAGGTATCCATTGCGTGAAGGCGATACAAAGAAATCTGAAGACCAGGCACCGAAAGTGAAAAAGGAGAAACTTGACCTGCCGGTTTGAACAAAATTCATCTTTACTTGCAATATAATAAACGTTATGTTAAAAAAACACGTTAAAAAATATGTACAACGTAACATATACTATATATATACTATACGCGATTTTTTATGTTAGCAATTGTCTAAAAATTGTGTTTGGGAACTGCATACAATATTAGGAACTTGCATGTCAGTATCATGAAAAGCATGATAGTGCTTGTTAATGGTGGCCTTAATTGTCACCCGCGTGCAGTATAGCTAGCTTACATTGCTCATACATGTGAAATTACTTATTCACTGCTTCTCAGGTACAAAGTGATGGGAATCGGCTAGTTTTCATAATATTGCAAATGATCAGCTTTCAATTATAGTCTATCAATGGCACGTCACTACATGCACATAATAAGTAACACAAGTTGTTATTACAGGCTTCCCCGCCTTCAGTTGAGAGCAGTCCTTCAATAAGCAGCAGTGGGCGCAGGATCAAGGCCAGAAATCTTGGCGACTTTGTTCTTACGCGACCTGTCCAACTTGGGTCGAGTCCTATCAAATCAAGTATTTTTCGTTTTTCATTCATTTCATTTTCAGTTGATATATCGATTTTTGTATGTTTTTAAAATGAATTACGAAGTAGTTGAAGCAGTTTTCTGTGTATTTTTAGTCGTTTTACTGGATCAACTAAATTAAGGAATAAAGGTCATTTTTCTTTTTTCATCGTGTTTGCCTGATATTGCAATGTCTCGATGATATGTTTTTTGTATTTTGTTAATCTCGTTCACGGGTGAAATGTATCCCTATTATTCTCACGATTGCATATTATTCCCAGATTCTGGAATCTCTGCCGGTGTCGCAGTAAAAGGCGAGGAGCTGTCTGCGAAGGAAGCTTCTGAAACCAGCGTGACTCCCACGTTCGTCGATGCAGCAGTTCAAAGTTTACCTGTTAGAAGACGTAGGAGCCGGCTGAGTGTAGGAGCCATCAGCCCCGTAGTAGCAGCACGGCAGGTACATACATTGCTCATCGACACAAGAAATAATCCGTATTTTGTGTTGTGTATTTCCTAATTGATGCCGAAAACGTACGTGCATGAAAAATATAATTAACTATATATGTATATATTAAGTTACGATTAGTAATTATATGTTAAAACTGAATTCCACTGATGAACCGCTGTTATAAATGTTTGTGTATACCCTTCTATTTCTTGATTGCCACGTCTCCAAAAAATGCCAGATTTAGCGCAAACAAACTTTGTGAATTAATAAATAGTTTGCAAAATGTAAGCAAACTGCCATGTCCTTTCGTTCAAGATATACTTAAGTGTAGGGTTCAGCTAGTCAACAGTGTCACTAGGTTTCAGCTTCACAATCGAAAATCTGTGATAATACTTTGTGCAACCACAAAATAAACTGGTTTTTTAAACCTTATAGTAAGGTAGCATTCAGAAAATAATATCTTTTTAAAACTTGCTTACTATGAATTTGACTTAACTACATACTATTTACATGCTTTAGTGACACAGATGTATACACAGAAAAGTCAAGTCACTGTGGAGTCGCTGTGTAAATATTACTCTGCAAAAAAGTGTAGGGTGCTTTTCCCAATGTAAACATCAGAATTCAAGGCAGCTTTTGGCAGTGTTGATTCTATATGATCGAAATAATTTATGCACAAAATGCTTGCAAAGAACACTACTTTGTGTAGATATTTTGATCGATTTTGGGGGGAAAACAGCTTTAAATATATGTATTCAGAATACTTTAATTTGTATGATTTGTAAGCGTGCAACTATCTTCCTTGGTTCATCTAGGAATCAAGCGATGTCCTCATTAAGAGTCCCAAAGTCACAAGGTCCCACCGTCGGACGATAAAAGAGCATTCGGTGACTCCTGACGCCCTCGTGCAGCGCGTGAAAGTCGAGCCTGTCGATTCTGACGTAGAAGTGGAGCCGCACGTACAGGAGTCACAGAGTCCGCAAATGCCACGCGCTGTAGAGAAGCTCATAGTGCGGACGTCGGGCAGCGGCGGAGGTGTCATGTCTGTCACTAGAGGGCGTGGAGCACTTGCGCCGAGAGGAGCTTCCGTCAATGTGGCTGGAAGGAAGCTAGCAGTGAGACCGTCGGCCATATGGCCGACGCGGGAAACGAGAACGAAATTCGTCGTGCCATTCAAAGGGCGCGCTGCCGCAGCGGGTGGGACCTCCACAACACGGGCAGCAGCTGCAGTGCGGAAAAGGTGAGAGACAATTAAGGAAGGGGAGAGGGACAGGCAGGGAGAGAGGGAGTGAGGGAGAACCAATAATATAATAAAAACCCATAATAAGTTAATTTTATATTGTCCTTAACTTATGGCAGAAAATTTTGCTTTCATACTCTTAGTGGTAATTACAAATTTTTGCTGTCACATATTTTTAGATGCTGGAAATTTCATGAAATGTTTTGGCTCGAGCATGGAGATACATCTCATCTACAAATCAAACGTGTGATTAATTTGATTTACTAGTCAATAAACGTTTACTCATGATTAGAGCAATAGCCGTGCAAAAGCTTGAGTGTCTCCTTAAGGCAGAAGGTTCATCATTGACACAAAGGGCTTTAATGTTGATCACAGGCGATCAAGAAACCAACCCATCATCGAATCAACGGACGAGGATGGAACGGAAGATGGGTCAGAGTCGAAAACGGAAACCGAGACAGAAGGAGAGGCAGACACTAGGAACAGTGAAGGCAAAGCGTTGCCCAGTGGTGTGCCATCATTCCGTGTGCCAGATCGCAATGTAAGCATGTTTTTATCTCATCTGACAGTCAGATGCCATCCATCCATCTATCCGTCAACAATATGGGCACAAATCTAAACGGTTTGACATACAGTGTTGATGTTCAGGACGTGGGGGGACAAGCTGAAAGGATATTAGGATGTCGAATTAAGGGGTCAAGGGTTAATGGATAGAAAGGGGGAAGGAAGGGGAAATATTCCCCCTTAAGTTAAGGTATAGGTGAAAATGCGGAATTGTGGCACAAGTGTAAACAGCTTTACCTATCTCATTAAATAAGTTCATTCGGTTGGTAGACTAATACTAAATGGGTTAATTGTTACTCACTCCTGCCAGGAGGCTTTCTCAAAGCTAACTGATGATTATCAGTAGAAACTGTAGAAAAACAGTAGAAAAGCCATAACTGTCACACAATTTGAGGTCACGGGTCAAAGGCCAGTAGGGCAAAGGACAGATTTTAGACATTCTCTGAGGACATGGTCTCTGACAGACTGAGTGAAAAACATTGTTTCAGTGATAATCTACATTTTATGGCTTTATTGACCAAGAAATGTACTCTCCACTGATGTGCAAAGAGCAGGGTTGAACAGCAATTTATTTACTGTTAACAAAATAATGAAATGCTTTTGCTAATGGAACCCATATACCTGTGTGGATGTGTAAGGTTACAATTTCATAGTTAAATTTCTTAGTAGAAGAAGGTTTAAGATAAAGCTTAACGAGACTTAATCACTTATGTGAGAGGCATACTGTGCCTCGGCTCTGATGTTGTACTGACTGTGGGCTCATGTACTAGATGTTAGCAACCACCATGTGTGCGGTTTTACTATCATAAATATCCCCTTCTTCTTGCTTTAGCACTGGCACAGACAGCCAGATGAGCACTGTTGCTTTGCAGCACTTGTTACACATGCATTAATGTTATTGTGTGTTAGTTATGCTGGTTTTCTTTTCATTGTGAACCATGCGATGCTATATGTTATTGAATGTATATTTGGCAAATCTGTAAACTCTCTGCTAGCTAAGAGTAACAAGGGGTGATTTATCATTTATTTCGAAATTTTATCAATAGATATTCCAAATTGCGTTGGATTTTTGTTGCAGCCTCGCATTTTCTCTGGGCATGTTCTGGGCTTTCTGCACAATTCGTGTGTTGCATGCAGCACTGTTATAAATGCAATTATACTGTTAATCTTGAGACATGCTACAGTAAGGAACTATCAGACAAAGTTGTTTATTTTTTTTGAGGGTATTTCATCATGTGGATTCCCATAAAAACTTGTTCTGGTTTCACTGAACTCTATTGATGGTATAATAGTGTAGGTTTTGTTTCATTAGAGTGTAGAGAAGATGCAGCAGCAGCGAAGGGCAGAGTGGCAATGGCAAGAGGCAACACGCATCAACAATCTCAGAGGAATCCAAAATGCTAGGGAATATTCAGAGTGAGTGGAACATTTTTTTAACTGCTTACTTAGTTGTCACAGTTATAAACCAATTACAAGGTGTGATTTCTTCTTCCCTCACAAGGCTTGGTTTACCCACCATTGGCTATATCCTACCAACTCGTTTCACTTCCCCTTTCCTTTGTTGTTCCTATTCCCACCAATGTTTTACCAAACCTTGTTGGCAAAAAAGACTTACACAAATTTAGCTTCTAAACTGGTATAAATATTCCTTCATAGTAAACGATTTTTAATGTAACCAAGCACTGTGATGCCATTCGAATATATAGGTTGTAATCAATGCATACGTTTTAGCAGTAGCAACTATGTAGGGAAATTACAGTACATAGTTCAGTGAAGTTACGTTTATATCAGAATTAGATAATATAGTAGTTTCCTATTATCTACTTCTGGTTTATATATTACAGTCATTAGATATAGTAGTGTAGTGATACACACCCGGCCATTAGGCCCTAATAAAAATATTGTTTGTTTGCCCTCACCAGTCCAACCCGCCAATAAGGGGCCAACTCAAACATTTTTATTGATCTTTCCCTCTTTTTTTTTTTTACAAATTGTATCACTGTACATTATATAAATCTGTAGGCAATACATTATATGTACCAAGCAAAACAAACATTCAACATAAAAGGTACGTATCTCCACACAAGCACACCTGAGCATGTAGACACCATGCTGAATTTGTAAAAATACCCCTCTCAAAAAAACCTACTTACCTACCCAAACTTTTCAGCCGGGGTCAGGTGAGGGCAAACAAATATTTTTTTAATTGTGGCCTTAGATGATAATTATTTCGTTTTGTACTCATTCCTATTCTGTCCACACCAATCATCTCGCTATTCTCTGCCAGGTACCGAGAGATGATGTCTAAAAGGAAGCCCATGAGCAGAAGAGAGGAGAAGATGCAGGAGAGACTGAGGCGTGGTCAGTGGGAGTTACAGCTGGCCAAGATCAACTTCCACATCATCAAGTCTCTACCAGCCGGCAGCAAACCAGTAACTCCAAATAACACTCTAGTCTATGTTGTCATATGTGAAGAAATGATTGCTCACAACAATGCCAATATGCGACTAGATCTACTATGTGATTGGAGGGGTTTGCTATCAGTGGAGGCTGTTATTTATGCTTACTTATGCAACGTTTAAGTATTTTTAATGTCGAGAGTGTACAATTGTTTCGCAGGATGTGAAAGCGTGTGACATGGCCATGCAAGAGTTGGACCCATTACCATTGACTGCTAACATGCTAAAAAAGAATCCATACATTGTGAGGACAATCAGAAAGGCAAGTTGTTTCACTTTAGAAGTGTAGATGTAATTTGGTTAGGTGTACATGCATTACTGTTTGATCGTGGGTGTAATTTAGATGTGCATGCCTCACTTGAAACATGGCATTTCTTGCAGGTGCGTTGTTTCAGACAGCATCGAAAATTGCAGAACAAAGCTGAGGACCTTTATAACCGGTTCAAAGCGATGTTTATTATTCCAGAAATCGGTTCATTCGATGGGGTGAGTATGTTGTTTGTATATGAACGGTGCCGTAATTTTCGCATTCAGTAATCAGAGCACAAAATTCAGATTTTTTTGCACTGGCCCAGAGGGCTGGTAACAGCAATTTTTACCAGCCCTCACCATAATTTACCAACCCTTACAAATTTTGTTTGTAAAATCAATGTCATGTTTCACACTTGCATTCTCGATTTCAAATTTGTATAAAATGTTGATAAAGATGGCATGATATCCTTCAGGTAAAACAGTAATGTAGGCTATTTGCTTATTAATGCTATAAATAATAATGTTGATATTCGCTAACACGGCTGAACCCACGGGCTCGGAGGGCCGGTGTTTTGCCAATGTTACCGGCCCTCCAAATAATTTGCCAGCATATGCCGGTGGGCCGGTGCTAATTTTGCACCCTGAGTAATATTGAAAAACGCATTCGAAGCACTTACATTCACACAGTGTTTGTATGTAGTATGTCGTGTCTGTAGTGGTGCTCTTTTCTGTGAAATCAAGTCACGAGTCTAGCGATTGAAGTCTTTACAAAACTCAATAGAATAGAGTATCAATTGCTTACTTAAATTTAGCTAAATGCATTAAACTATGAGCACCGACTCTTAGTAGGCAGCTATGTACAGGTAAAAATATTTATGAGTAAAATATACCTGCAGCTATAGTTAGTTTACTTTTAGTGCGTGGCTACAGCTGCGTATGATTTGCAGTCGTCTTATGGCAGTCATTGTCATACTTAAATTGTGAGTCAACCAGACGGCTGAAGTTAATAAATTGGCTATATTGTGATAAATATTTCTGTGAAGTGTTACTCATTATTTAGGTGAGTTTCTGTTTGAATCCTTCTGTGGTAGACTTTCGATAATGCAAGCAGGACGTACCTGGAGAGATATCCACAGGTGAAAACGGGAGATGGCAAGTTGCCTGGGCAGAAACCAACATACTTTGAACGTATGTGGCGTCAAGAGCAGAAAGGTAGTTTTACGTTTGCCAATACAGCATGCTGATTGATGCAATGCACATATCTACACTACATGTTAATATGTATATAGCGTGTATAGGCACGTTGATGCAGAGATATAGCGGGAGAATTGGCAAATACGCAGTTGCGCTTCTTGTTTTGTGATGTGTTTGATCTCCCTGTTTTGTTATGCTTTCTGCGCACGTGACTTGCGTATGGATGTAGTGACTGTACATATAGTTACATGATATTCCAACTGATAGTTACTTCCACCCAACGGAGTTGGAGGAGGTTATGTTTTCGCTCTCGTGTGTTTGCGTTAGACTGGTACTCGCTCCCACCTCGATTCCCCCATCGAGTAACTAAGCCGAGAGGTGGGACCGGGTACCAGTCTAGTGTTTGTGTGTTGGTGTGTTCGCACGATCGATATTAGCCAGCCAGCCAGCCAGCGCAGCAAGCCAGCTCCTAACACATATGCACTCCGTCAGTGCACTCTGCCTAGCTAAGTCACTCATAGATAAGTGTATAAGGCTGGATTGGTAGGTCCATTCATATTATCAGTAGTGTCATAATATAGATAATGTTCTACTATAGTGTTACTTTAGTTGGCGGAGGTATGCACTCCGTAGTGCCTCTAGTTTATCCATGTGAACTTTCTGCCCACGTAATATTGTGTACAAAGGGATTGTAGATTACTATCCTAAGATTCGTCTGCAGTTATGTTTCTGTCTGGCAGGAATTGATCCGCGTGCTGACCTATCAGACGACAGTCATGGTGAAAACGCAGTCGTGCCACAACAGAACTACATTTCTACAAACACTGAAGGAGAAACAGTAGACAACGATAATCTACAGGGTAAACTAATCGGCCCAGTTTCTTGCAAAGGGAATGTACAGCATTTCATGAACTCACAATTTCTGTTGAAATGTCAGTTATAACGCTGATGCTTTCTTGGTACGTGATTTCAATTTCCACTACCACATGCAAGCTAGCAAAAAATGTTTGTCTGTTACACAGTTACCGCAGTTACACAGGTAAATCACCAGTATAATTATACACATAAAGAGTTTGCTAATATATGGTTTAGTGAACTGTTTACTTGTTAGTTGACTTCTATCCCAACTCTGTGTACATGTGTCGTGTTTATAATCCTTTAGATAAAGATATAGCAGCTGCTTCTGTAGCCATAGTTGAAGAACTGCTCAATAGAGTTGTTACTGATGAGGAAAATGACAGCAATGCCCAGTCTGCTCCAGTACTAGCTGAGATAACTGATAAGGTTACCAAGGAAACAGAGTGTGCTGCAGTGGAGAATGTTCCCATGGAAACAGCTGATGGTGAAAATGATGTGACAATGGCAGTCAAGGAGTGTAATGATTCTGAAGACACAAACCTAGGTAATTTCTAATTTCAATCTCTAAAATGAGCTCCTCTACTACATCTGATGTATGAGGAATATTCAGATATTCAGAATTAGCCTTCATTGTCTGCTTTGTAATTTATTTGTTGCCAGCTAAATGAAAATGTAATTATCTCATATGTTTATGTAATCACCTTTTTACATCTCTTCTTGCCAAACTATAAGCTGCCCCATGCTCTATAATATTTTATTGTTACCTTTAGATTAAAATAATCTTAATTATAGAAGTACATATAAACTGCTGAATCCACGACAAGTTGCATCTTTCATATTTTTCATGTTATATGTAGTGTAATTATATAATGTTTAATTGTTATATACTATATCAAATGTAATTGCTGTAGAATGAAACAATGTGAATATTTGACAAATATTGTGCTTGTTTTTGGAAATTTCTTTAGTATGCATCAATCAATTCACACATGTGAGTATATGGCAGTAGAACATTAACATTACTGTTATGTTGTATGCTGTGTTATGTGGTGCTAGTAAACAATTAAACATACATATTGGCCTTTTTTATACGTTGCAACAGGACGAATAACATGGAGGATTAATGAGAGACCTGGGAAAACTGTCTTTAGTTTTATTCTTATTGCGTGTGTTGGTGGGTGGGTGCGTGCGTGTGTATGTGTGTGTGTGTGTGTATTGCTCATATTGCTCTTCTGTGCAAGTAAAAGTAATGTTGCTAACAACCTGCGTTTCACAGGTAGAAAAAGGTTCACGAGGAGCTCGCTGACGAAAACCTGAAGCTATAACAAGATGGCAGCATGGTGTCACCTCGATTCCATGATGGACACGACACTAGCTCATCCGTGTAGATTGCAGTTAAAGACACTTAAAAGGGTGAATAACAGCATGAGCATATCTCCTGTTAGATGAGAATTATCCGAGTCAAGACGTGTTCAATACTAACTTGAACATATCTACACAATGTATTGATATAGATCAGGATATAGATGGACATAGATACAGTGTATAGGTATATTAATGGTACTACGTAGTTGGATAAGTATGTAGGGGTCATGAGGTTTGTACATGAAACTAGTATATATAGTTGTTGATGAGGATACTGCCAAGTTGGTCATAAATGTTCGTGGATCTTTGCAAGTGGGTTAGATGTGCATTGTTTAATTCATTTTTATTATAATTGATTTCATATACATTAGTAAAGATGTATGTTTGCACATTTGTATTTGTAAACTTCAATAAAATGTTAGTTTTAAACTTAAGTGTAATGTATACTAAATGCATATTACAAATTAATTTGTTAAAAAACAAATAATTTATTTTCCCTTTACGTGCTAGCCACCATATATTACTTTGCATTCCAACTTATAGACTGATAGTGCAATTATAGACTGATAATACCTAGAGAGTAACTTACAGAAACCAAAACCATTAAACATGTGCCTTTTAAATAGTAACCACCTCATACACACAATATTCTTGACAACATTTCAACTTCAAAGCAGGCCATTTTGCATTACAGGTTGGTCATACATCAAGATACTAACCGATACATTTGTCAATGATCCCCACACAAAAATTAAATCACAAGAAAATTGCCACAAACCACATTAAGGCATACTGCTACAATAGGTACAGTGCACACACGGGTACACGTGTGTATATATACATATTAGTATACTACTAGTGGTACTAGCATATATGTAAATGTGCGTGCGTGTGTGTATACCTTCATGGTAAGACATAGATTGCAGAAATGCCTGGATCTGATGGGTGTGCACAGTAAGTGCTCTCAAGGGCACGCCTATTCAATTCTGTAACACATACAGTGACGCTGCAACACTACAAATCTCTGCTTAGCACGCAGCAAAAAGAGATCGAAGCGAGAAAGAAGAGTGTGGAAACGGTGTCAAGAAGGGAGACTGCACGCGGCGTCACCTGCCAGTGAAAACTGAATCTCTTCATACATGCCCAGTGGGCACACGACAATTATTATATACTACAAATCACATGCTAGATTGTATTAAAATTGTTGACAACTACACACGTAGTAGAGAGGTTTTCACTACCGTAATCACATGTAAATCAAAGTGCTAAACCAAAACCTTAGCCTAATATCGTTAGTTCAAGAGTCATTAACATTAAACTATAACAACACACAGACTCACAATCATAACAGCACACATTCAAGCTAATGAGATTTCGGTGGCCTTTCCTGAGATCCCTAAAAGAAACAAGATCTGGCATTCACAGGTGCTATGAGTAATTATAATTTCCAGCGCGTGCAAAATTATTGATCCGTGTGTGTGCAGGCAAAGGATTACGAAATATTGCACTATGTTCTATAAGTTAACCTTTAAAACAGCCTGCACAAGCCTTGTCAAAGCTTGATGGGAGGTGTTCTAAGCCAAGCTAGAATGGCATGAGAGCAACTAAATGCCAGATGGTGTTCCTTTAATATGAAGAATCACGAGTAAGTATCAAACCAGTGCCAGGACCTTTGGAAGATTCATTTTATACGAAAACAATCTAAAAATATAAACGTTTTATTATGTTGCAGCATGTGTAATTCCTCAGTACATAAAAAAGTAATAGATGAGATACAAGGCATAAATCATCAAATGATTTAGAATAATATGACGTGTATGTCTGCATTATAATTAATCCATGCACACAAATGTCTTTCCACTTCTTCAAACCAATTACAGCTTCAATGAACCTGTACAGCAGAGAATAAATAAGGTTGCCAAAGATTTTTCTTGCGCTCTGTAAAAATAGTTTAACCATGATTTACAATACTAACATCCAGCAGAACAATTTTTTGTACCACTAGCATTCAAGTGCTTATACCCATGAACTTATTAACGTGGTGTTACCCACAAGGGTAGGTTTTAATGTAAGCCATTGCAGTCCTTTAAGTCGAAACATTTTTTAATGGTTTTTTCTCAGAGAAGAAACTTCTGAGCACAAGCACTTGTCCACACATAATAGAGACAATGACGATAGATTGGCCAATAGAGTACCACTGCACCCTGCTGCTGAGATCCTCGGCACGTTTCCTTCCCTGTGTTTCACGAAGACGATGGTGTGTCTGATAGTCTACCATATCTCTAAGCGAACTATGAACCGCTTCTGACGAAGACTCCATCTGCAAATAACATGGCATTAACTCAACAGTGCACACACAAGAAAGTAGAAACCTGGAGGAGGAAGAGGAGGGCGAGGGAAGTAGAAGAAGAGAGCAGTAGAACCACAAGAAGAACTCGCGGGTGAGGCTGTAGCCTTACACCAGACCCAAATTCAGTAAGCCCCAATGATATGGCACATACTGCTTCTAAAAGTTTGTCTTCACTATTCACTAAGTAGAATTTGTTTTGCAACCACACCCATCAAAATCTTTATGGCGAAGAACTTACCAGCGTCATAGCAGTGACCCGCTCATCGTTGAGGGGGAAAAGAGGTGGATCATCTCCAACCTGGAAGTCCAGGTAGACAAGCTTGTGTGTGAACGTCGAGAACTCGTTACTGAAGCAAACTGGACAGAAAACGATTATGCTTACACACGTGATAAGATCTGACATGTACCAAAGAAAAACAATTATCGCAGGATTCTGAATTGCATTCAAGCAGCCATCACGTTCTTATATTTACTCTCACTAATAGGAGGTTGGCAAAGAAGAAATGTAAAAAAATATAGCAATGGCTGTGGAACGCAATGCATTGTTTAGAATAATGTGCCAAAAGCTAGGCGACTCCTCTTCGTTCTTTTCTATTTCCCTAATCTGAAAGGTAAGTTAAAAGTGATTTCTTCATCCTTTTCCTGTACCTACCTGAAAAATGAGCCAAAAGCGATTGGCTCGAGCTGCGAACATGCAAGCTTTATATAGCCCCCAGCCAGCTGGCACGCTGTCAGCCAGCAACCCCCCCCCCATGCCGTCCGGTCCATGCATGGTGCAATCCCCTCTCCCGCACCTTCCAGTACCAGAGTTGTGTCGACCCGCACCAGCATGCTGCAATCCTTGCTTTATGGCATGCCTTATATGTTTAGCCACCAGAAATCTCCACAATAGGCCAACAGTCTTCCCACGTAGCCAAGCATACTGTGTTTCAAGACTTTTACTACTGGGGCGACTACAAAATGAAGTAGATGTGTTTCAACAAGTAGTTAAGAATATTAGGTAACTATATTCTCAAAATCATTAGCCAAGATTATAAGCATCATTACCATACTGGTATCTTGGCATAGAATATTGGCTAAATTTATACCTCAATGACAACCAAAAATGCAAACATTTATGCCATACCTGTGTAGACGCCAGGCTGGTTTGTTGTCCATGTAAAACTGTCGTACTGTTTCTTTACAACGTTGTACAAGATTTCTTTATTAGGAGCCTCGACGTGCATGTCTACATCATACTGACCACCTGTTACTACCTGTACAATGACACAATACAATCTTTAAAATGATCGGGTCAGTCTCATCATGAAGCCTCCTCATAACGAATATATTTCATCGGCAATGGACTATAAAAAAGAGTAACATTTAGCAAGTTGCCAGGTCACACTGTAGATTTCAGCATTAAACATTTCTATTTTACAATTAATTAAATAAGAGAACTTCTGTATGAAATGGCAGAAACAAATTTTGAACAGATCCTTAGAAGAGGGCATGACTATAGTATATGCCAAGACCCCTAGTATTAATCACTGGCAGCAAGAACAAGCCCGCACGTACAGCACACACGTGCCCATTGACTATATAATAACAACATAGTGCCCAACTCGCCGCCGCAGTTTCCACAACTCACCGTTTTCAATCAGTTACAACTCCGGTGTTCCTGCAGGTGACGCCACTTTCCAACTATCGTTGGAATCGCGGAAGACTGCTGAACAAGCTACACCCGCCATTTTTGACAATTGGCCCGCCAGAATGCGCTCAAATCACAGAAATTCCTCAAATATACATGCTAAATGAAACTTCGGATGCTACCAGGCAAACGGGCGGCATGCCCAACCGCTGGCGGGTGCGCTGATTGGCTGCAGCAAGTTTAACATGCAGACAGGCTGCGAAAATACGTTTGTTGACATCGCGGGTGAGTCATGTTAGACGGACCCTCTGTCTCGCTGTACGCTCGTAGATCTGTATTGCCTATCGGGATGCGGGTTCGTCTATTACTGGGCGAAGTACAAAGCGCCAGCGGTTGGGCATGCCGCCCTTTTGCCTGGTAGCATCCGAAGTCTCATTTCGCATGTATATTTGAGGAATTTCTGTGATTTGAGCACATTCTGGCGGGCCGATTGTCAAAAATGGCGGGTGTAGCTTGTTCAGCAGTCTTCCGCAATTCCAACGATAGTTGGAAAGTGGCGTCACCTGCTGGAACACCAGGGTTGTAACTGATTGAAAATGGTGAGTTGTGGAAATTGCGGCGGCGAGTTAGGCACCATGTATATATAGTCAATGGCGGCGTGTATGCTGTACGTGCGGGCTTGTTCTTACTGCCAGTGGTTTGCACAAGTCGTTGTTGATAAGTCGTTGTTTTATTGCCTTAATTTGGTGAGCTATTCGTATTCGATAATAGCTGCAAAATGACACATGTCACAGGGATCAGAAAACTAGACTTAAAAAACGTGTTTTGGCGATAATAAAATATTATAAATCATAGGCCTACTGAACCTGAAACTCCACTGTGCATTGCACTCCTGTATCGATAACTTCGTGAAAGCATTGCTTCGCAGAATCTGGTAACTCAAAAGTGAGTTCCGATGCCGTAACCGCCGACAAGAGAAACAAGCCGCAGAACGTAATGTACGTGAACTTGTTCATAGTATAACTAGGTGTGCATAAACTATTTCTAAAGTTACAACCGATTAGAAAAATCTACGAAAACTAGGAAACTACAACACGACTATCGTGTCGGTAATGTTTTGATCATTCCGGGGTACGTGACGTGGCGGCCGGTGTTCACTTGTTACTGTGCTCTACTTTTTTAAGTTTGTATAATTATATAACCACATATTTAAGCTTTTATTCACCGTACGCTGGCAGCTATATTTAATTTCAAGTTTACTTACACTCTAATATTTAAAGTTCGTCATACAGTCGTACATTCGTAACAATTATATGCCATCGTCATCGTTAAGAGTTTTCTCAGTTGGTTCTAATATGCACTCATTGACACATACGAAGTTCCACGCGGCATATCCACTCATCCCGGGCTCCTCCCGAACATGGTGCATGTACAAATCGTGCATGCCATAATCCTACGAAGTTAATTAGTGTGGGGATTTCAGGGGGGAGTGAAGAGTTGTGGAGATGTCAGGGGGGATGACGTCATACAACCAGATGAGACGGGATACTAGAGAAGCGTTGCCGAAAGGAGGTGTTAATCCCAAGCGCTATACGCGCAGATCCTGCGCGCAGTTCCGCGGCAAGGCGCACGCGACCGCGGCAACGTCGCGCGCGACTACGCACTGCTGGCAGCTATGGATCCGTGCGCCGAATGCATACGTCGGCGCACGGATCCATAGCTGCCAGCGAGGTAGTCGACAATTTTAGCGGCCAGATACATGAACTGCGGCCGCACCCCGGTGCAGGTGGAATTGGGGAATTTGCAAGTGAATGATTAAGGGAACATGAACAACAGTACGAGTGAAACGTACACTTTCGTGGTGTCTTCTTTGATTTACCAGGCATGTACTCCGTCATGTGTGCTACCTCGAATAGCCTGGAAGCGAGTGTTAGCGTTTCGAAAACACTGAATGTGCATCTGTTCACCCAAGTCTGAATGCTAACTACGAAAAACCTCACATCATTTCAAGGTAAGAGATAGGCCACTCAAACGGCACCGGTACTGGTGCCGATTTGCCTCTGCACGCATCGCAC